CTGAATGGACTGTAATCCCACAGGAGGCTAAATCGCTTTCAATAATCTGTCCGGCCAGGGATATCTGTGTAAAAAAGGAGGCCCTATCGAGAACACTCCCCCACACCCCACCGCCCGCACACATCGGCTGTAAAACCCCAGACCTACGAAAGGCCCACCGTCCGCAACTCCTCTGTTCCCGCAGATGCCTGCCTCAGCTAACATCATTACTCTGCTCCCGTGAGGAGGATCCAGCCTTTCTGCTCGGCAAAGGTTTTCTAAGTATCTGTCCCCCAGCTAAGATTAGCTAAATCCCATGTAAGTAATGTAGCCGTCTCCCTGCAGTCAGGGTTTAGCAGCACTTGTCTCCACGCTGGCGGCCCAGCCCTCCCTTTCAGAAGGATTAGCAAAGCCATCCCCCTTCAGCTATTCACTTGCAGCTTTCCCATTTCCCCCTCAAATGGAGGTATGCTCAGGAAAAGGAATCTGGACAGATATTTTTGCTTGTCTTTCTGGTATACCAGCACCATCTCAAGCTTCAGTCTACAGGATTGACCCCCCAACTTCAAATCAAGTTCCTGTTAAATCTGAATCATTCAAAGTTGATGATCATGACAAAACTACAAACTTTCACACTGCAAAACACAAAATCTTACCAAGTATTTTTGGTCCAGTTTCAAGTGCAAATATCTTAGTACACTTGAAATAAGACGAGTAACTTTCAACAAGAAACAGAAGCTTGTTGTAAGTCAAAAATCATTAATATTGATACAAAAAAGTCCTACATCCACTGGTAGATTCTTTCACTTATAACTTTTTCAATATTAAGAAGTTATTGACTAAAGCCAAGCTCCTATATCTTGCTCAAGAGTTACTTGTAAGTTAGTCATGTCTTCTTTCAAGTCTATTAAAATATTTGCACTGGAAACAAGACCAAAAATACTTAAGTATTTTGTTTTTAAAGTGTCAGAGTTACTACTTTAACACACCAACTCGCCTCTGCAACAAACATGGTTTGTACTGCTCCTACATCTACCATCTGGCTTCATAATACAAAGCTAGAAACCAATCAAATTCTCCCTTTAAGACAAACTACAGTAAATGCAATTAGTTTTGACATCCGCATCCTGACATCCATGCTCATCAATCAACCGGCTATTGTCAGACAGTTCCATTAATCCAAATTAGCCGAGGGATCCAACCAAGGGGATAAACCTGACAAATTAGCAAGGGTGGGTTACCTCATAATCCTGTTCATATTCACCGCAGGAGCCTTCAACAGTGGTCTCACTGTTGAAGGGTGTGTGTGTCTATACACAAACACACACACCCAACGTCGTCCTCACCTTGTCTGGGTTATGGAAGACATCACTGCGTAGGTCTCCGTCTAAGAACTCGTTGAAGTACGTCATGAGCCGCTGGGCCTCCACGGCCCTTTGGCGGGGCGTATTCACCCCTTCAAGCTGGTCGCCAAGGTGACACACCTTAGTGGCCACGTAGCTGATGTGCTCATCAAGCTCTTGAAAATGTTGAAAGGCCACCTGAATGAAAATAAAAGCAAAAAGAAGGTGATATAAATAGAAAATATGTCACATAATAAACTGTTTTTTTAAACTGTCTGGTTTAAATCTCATAATTTCCAAATGCTAATTTAAGGTTTGTGTTAAAAACTTGGGTGTTTGTTTTCAAGTAAGCAACCTACTTGGTTGCTTCTTTGCAGGTCTTGCACTTTGTGGGCAAATTCCTTCGCTTCCCGATGACACTGATGCTCGAGCTTCTCCACCTTCCGCTGGATCTTCTCATCCAGTTGCTTCAGCTCCTCAATGTGACACTTAAATTCATCCAAGAGCCTGTTGCAGAGGACAAGCAGATATGTCCGGACAGAAGTTTCCACTAGTGAATGCAGCACAGACAAAACATGAAACAATGCACCTCAAGTGAAGGCATCACTGCTTGGCAAAAGGTTATATCTGTCCCACTGACCTCACAGACACAGTAAATAGTTACAGAATAATGTTGATCATCTAATTCCTGGCTCCCTTGGCTTAAAAAGCTCAGAAAACTAGTAGCTTCGTCAGCTGCATTTTAAGTGCCATTAGGACTACAGAGCAAATGTTCTAAGTCAGCACCACATTTCAAGGAATAGGAAATATCCCAAAATGATGAGTGTATAATCTTCTGACTAATTCCTTCAGCACTGGCTGCAGCTTAAAGTCATCTTCCATCCTCTCTCAACAGACACTCGCTTCCCCGGCTGGTGACTCACAGTATGGTGGCCTCCAAAGACACGTCGCCGCTAAGAGCTTCCGAGGAGGTGCTGGCAACAATTTGTGGTTGAAGTAGATAAAGTGGGAATGGATCTGGAGCAAAGTTAAACTGGTGTGGCATTTTTGCTTACTAGATGCAACTCTGTCCCAAAGTGTAAACATCACAGAAGTGGGGAGAAAAGCATGCAAAGGATTTGTAAACATTTCTTAATTTTTTTCAAGCTATCAAAACGTCTAAATCAGTGCACAGGAACCAGCTGTAGTGAGGATTAATACTCATAGACAAAGTTACAATGAATAGTTGCAACAAATAAAAAAAGTATCTAAAATGTTTTTTTAATTAATTAAAAAAGGTAATTAAATTAAATTCAAAATTGGCTGAGACATTTAACAAAATGAAATACCAAAGTATTTTAAAACATTTCAATCTTATTCTACCTGTTTTTATTTGGATCTGTTCATTTATTTTTAAGTAAATTTGCAAAGCACCTTGAGCAACATCCCAGTTTAGAAACTTTACTGACTGATCCACATACATCACATGAACAACTGCAACACTTTGCTAATGGGAGCATTTTAATAAAGACAACATGATTCAACAATTTTTATTACCATGATCATGAAGTTAAATAATCTGAAAACAACAGGAGGAAACTTTTGAACCAATTTCACATACAATTATTTAAAGAGACTTGTTTTAAATATACATTTTTGCTTTAATATAAGAAAAATAAGGGAAAACACTGAGCTAATCTAATGGACATCATCCATGTGCTTTTTTGCATTTGCGCCTCTTTGTTAGTTTCATTAAATATATTTTATTCTTTTATAGGACAGAATGAACATTAAAATAATCTAACCACTATCAATTTCAATTTACACAAACATTAATCGACAGTGTATATTTCTATGCATTTTCTCAAGTTTCATAAAAAGAATCAAATAAAAATTAGATTTTAAATACTCTATTTCCACTTACACTGAAGCCTTCAATTACCTTGTAAAGGTCAAAATGTTCATTATATTTCACAGAAACAAAGTTATCTCAAAACAAACCGTAATATAAAAAGGAAGCGCGGATTTGTCAAATGTGAAATTTGCAATTAATACACAAAGAAAAACTGGACACCTGTTTTAGACAGAAAACATCTAGTTGGTGAATCACTAAATGCACGTTTACAAACGCCTGCTGGTCAACAACAATGTGCTTTCATATAAAATAATAATAATAAAAAGATAAAGTCAACTAAAATAAGAAGATACATAGGTGCATTACTCAGAATACGTGACTGGCAAGCAATCTATTTGCTACCTTTTGGGGTCAAATGCCTCAGCTCCTCCTTTAGAACCTCCTCCTGGAGTCCTCCATGCCAACCTCTCAATGTACTCATCTGCGTCAAAAGGCTCCTACATCGGGGCAGAAAACATAGATGAATGACGACCAAATCATAAACCATAAGATCTACATAGAGCAGAGACAAAAAGATCTCATAAAACATTTAAAACCAGCAGTGATTCTCCTGGACGCAGTCAAAAACAATGACATCTCCAGGAAGATGCAAAGTGAAGCTCTTTTCATTGTATTTTGCTGAATAAAACAAGCATGTATTGGCTATCGAAGTTGTTGCAAACCTTTCTTTACGCACTGTACAAATAAATAAAGTCAGGACCGTTAAGCAGCCGTTATAACAGTTGACCATTAGTTAGCCTGCTAGCTAGAGTAGTTTACTGCAGTTGTTTTTACCTCAAACAGCTGAGCGGTGGTCGCCATATTCACGATTCACCTGACAGACCCGCAAAATTAAGTTTTAAGACAACCAATCAACCAACAGTCAGCTATCACGCCGACGTATGCTCGGGTTTGTTTTTTCTCTCTCTCAGTTTTACCCCTTTGTTGACAGCTAGCTTGTAAGAAATGCAGCTTCCTGTATGGGAGGGAAGGGTGGGGACAAGTAGGTGCTGTCCGAGGCTGAGCCGACTTAATGTGCCGGCTCTTTGAGATGACGCCAAGCTGGCAATAGATTCCCATCTGAGAACCGCTATTGTACAAGAGGAAATAATCCACAGTGCTTTGCAGAAAAACCAATTTGATTTTTTCACGTTTTGTCACTTTATGAAACAGGGGGATTTTATGTAATAACAATACAAAGTAGTGCAAATTTGTGAAGTGGAAGGAAATAAATGTGTTTTGAAAATGTAATCAAATAATATTGGGAAAATGTGACACATGATATTTAGAAACCTAAATATATTCTTTGCAGTACCACCATCAGTCTACTGTCTTTACATAGAAAGAGATTTTCTCATTTATTCTTTACAAAACAATAGGCTACTCTTTAGTTCCTCGATCTTTAGCACATTCAAACAGTTCAGAGATTGTCCTAAGAATAAGCACTTGTATATCATGATGGACCAAAAAGTGACATTATGGTCCCACTCGACCAGAGGACCTTCTGCGATGTTTGCTATACTTTCTACATTTGTGAAAAACTTTATCCAGGCTTTCTCTCTGCTTTCTTTTTATATTAGTATTTGGTGGACAGAGGAGAAGATGTTCTTCATATTAGATTTTGTCAAATTTATTATACTGAAACTGAGCAAAGTGTAAGCTAAATATTTCAGACAGTAAAAGGTTTGGTGGCGAACTGAGCCAAAAACCATAGATCTTAAAAAACAGTCGGCATTCCCATCCCCAGTACAGTCACTTCATATTGCGCATGCGCTTGTGTCAGCTGATTGGCCGTGGTCGTCACATGAGATAACAACAGGAAGTTAAGTGCTGCATCAAGAGAAATGTGAATGCTGAGAAAAAGAAATAATTAAACGTGCTCGAAGGGATGCAAATATTAATCTGTGGAGATTAGGAGAGTTCTTGCAGTCGAACAGATGAGTTTGCGAGCTTTATGGATTATATTTTATGAAAAGGGAGAAAATGCATCTGTACGGTTTTCAAGGTTTGTAACTTCCTTCTGTTGTTCTCTCTGTGTAAAAAAACAGATATCCTTTCTTTATAAAGAGGCTATTATTGTAATAGCCTCATTATAAAGGCTATTTTAATAATAGCCTTTATTATTATAATAGTAAAGGCTATTATTTTAATAATAGCCTTTATAATGAGGTTTTATATCAGTTTGTTTATTCTAGCCTTCTTGTTAGTTATTCAATATAGCTGAATGTCATGTGTCTCTCTAACAGGAGGTTTTCCACTGTGGAACACCGCGCTAAAATCATGGCAGGTTCCTCCTACGTTGCCGTCCCAGAGGACAGGATCTTCCTGCAGCTCCTGCTCACTGAGCTGGGCCTTTCCAGCCCTAACAAGCCCTACGTAGCTGAGAGAGATGATTGCCTTTATCGTCCACGTTCACCAGCTGTGGAGCTGCGTTTGAATGGAAAGCAAACATTGTGGCCTGTGCTGGCCATCTCTCAGGGTCCACTCATCCTGGCTTGCCTCCCATTAGTGGATATCCCCAACGAGCCGCGACCACCTCTGGCCAGCCTGCTGTCAGTGTCTCAGGGTCTCACATTTCTAGCTGGCCTCCAGACCTTTGTCCTAGGTTCAGGGGGGAAGCTTGACAGGGAGGGGCTGGACTCTCGTGTGGCAATGCTGCCACCTCTCCTCTTACAGGTGTGTCCTCTTGGCACACCTCTTGATACCATACCACTGGCAGGAACACCTACTGCACCCACGGCGCCCACATCTACAGTCACCCAGAAGCAGCCAGCCTGGAAGACGGGTCTATATCGGGGTCGAGCCTCTGTGAATGTGGCTGTGGTTGAAACAGTGCGCTCCATGCAGTATGGGAACCAGAGCAGACAGGATACGTGGGATGTTTATGGGACAGTGACCTGCAAGGTAAGGACGCCATGTAAAGAAAGTAGTGTGTGTCCTAAAAAAAGTATCCATACCCAGTGAACATTCACACGTTCTTATATTGCATCACAAATTTCAATGTATTTGACTGGGATTACATTTTTTTTGTGCATCCGCAGAGTATTTCATATTTTTTTCTTGTCCTTTCTGTAAAAAGGCATTCCCACATTATGATGCTGCCACCGTAATTCCGCCATGGGTATGGTGTGTTTAAGCATTTGCAGTTAGCTTCCTGTCACACAAACTTTTGCATATCACTCTAAAGGTTTGAAATGTGCTTTTTTCTGAACACATCACTTTCCACTACATGTTTGCAGTCTCCCCACAAAGCTTGTGGCAAACTGTAAACTTATTTTTAGCTTTCTTGTATCATTAGTTTCGTTCTTGTATCTCTATCATAAAGTCTATGTACGTGGTGTGGGCAGTCAATGATTGTTGTGTGGAGAGATTTGTCCACCTGAGCTGGGGATCTGTGCAGCTCCTCCTCCAGACGATGTGGATATTGTAGTTGCTTTTCTGATAAGTACTCTGAAAAGGTTGTCACATTTTAATTTCAAGTTTCATATTAGAAGGGAAAACACATTTTTGACATACTTTCCAAACAATTAAAACTGTGTACTTTCAGTTCCTCCTTCACAATTGTGCACTGCTCTGCATTAGTTTGTCTTATTGAATCCTAATAAAATACACTGAAGTTTGTGGTTTCCACATGACAAAATGTGAAAACGTTCAGGTGGTGTGAATATATTTTGAAGTGACAGTGTCATTCTGCACTTCTTTCAACAGTGTGAAGTAGAGGGGGTGCTGCCAAACGTCACTGTGACCCTCACGCTGCCACCCAACGGTTCTCCACTGCAGGACATCCTGGTCCATCCCTGCGTGTCCTCTCTGGACTCTAATATACTGACCGCCAGCAGTGTTGATGATGCAGATGGCTCGGCTTTCTCTGGGCCATACAAGTTCCCCTTTTCTCCTCCTCTGGAGCCATTTAGACTTTGCAGCTACACTTCACAGGTATACATTTCAGATGAAGACCAGTGACTTTATGAAGCAAGGAGAGAATGGATAACTGATGTACTTTCCTTCCAGGTTCCTGTTCCCCCCATCCTTGGCTTTTATCAGCTGAAGGAAGAGGAGAATAACCTTCGCGTGAGTGTGTCCCTCAAGCTCCACGAGTCTGTGAAGAACAGCTTTGAGTACTGCGAAGCACATCTGCCATTCTTCAACAGGTAAACAGCAGAATGAAAAATTCTCTTGCACTAGGCCAACTTTGAAAATAGCTCCTGATCCATTGAAAAAAAGCACCTCTGGTAAGAAATTGTAGTGAAAAGATGCCTTATTTATTCCATTTTTATTATGGTAAGTTAGTGATTTACTATTTATTAAAGAAACCTGTAATTGATCTGTTAAGGTCAGGCAACAGGAACTTGTACAACTGTACTTTTACACCTACTCAGTAAAGTTTGTCTAGAGCTGTAAAACTAACTTTGCTTGTCTTTTTTTGTTAATATATACTACATAAATTGAAGAATTTATACATAAAATGTAAAAAGAAGAGAGACATTGCCAAGGTGATCAGCACTGTTATCTAAAAAAGATGCAGTGCCCAATAGGTGTGAAATAATAGGTGTGTGCTTCTAATGCTTTTCTCAAATGTTTGCATGTTGTCCAGAAATCAGATGGGTGTGGCGGATGTGAAAGTGAGCTCCGGCCAGTTAGACGTGTCTAAAGAGAAGAATCTGTTGGTCTGGGCTCTAGGTACGTGTTGTTTTATTGTTATTATTATTAAAAAGTATTTGTTTTCTAGAATTTTACTAAGGATTAAACAAAATAAAAATTAAACTTCTTCTGTTTTTTGCTAAACTAAAGGTCAGAAGTTTCCAAAGTCTCGTGAAGTTACATTGGATGGCAAAATAACTTTTTCTGGATCCTCACATGGACCTTCTGACCCTCTCTGCACTGGACTTACTGCCTACATTAAGGTAAAGTGTTATGGCTTTCTAATAAGAACTTGTGTATTTATTTAAAAAAGAAAGACACAAAACTATTTCAGTCTTTATCTAAAGACATTTTCTTTAATAATTTAAATTATTTAGTTGCATTTATTAGCCTCACATTCTTTATTTTTTTGTTTGATTTAAGCTTGACTTGCAGGTATTGGTGAACACTAATATCTATTTCTGAAAACCATGAATGTCTTGGATTTTTCCTCTTAAAAATGTTAATACGTTGCATGTAGGTGGACAACTTTAAATCTAGTTTCATCAACTTGGTGCTGTTTGCCGTTCTGATGTTTCTTCTCACAGTTGTACTTAAGGGTGCCAGACATGACTCTGTCCGGATGTTGTGTTGACCAGCATTCAGTGCAAGTTTATTCATCTGCCAAACCAAGGATTTACACATGTAAGCTGAGAGATTTGATCTCAAAACATTTTCTGCTTTTATCCTTATGTTAAATTGAAAGTGGTGTCATTGTGTGGTCCTCAGCCCGAGAACTTCAGTCCAAAGAGTACTACATCTGGAATTCAACTGGTTCAGCCCCTGTGTCCACTGGGCAGATGGTGATCTAGAGTAGCTCCATCATGGGCGGATGTACAGTGCACTGTTGAGACTGAAAACCAAGTCCAGCTGAAATGGATGCATATGACCGTAAACATAATGATTTACTGAATTTATTCTGTATGGCTCCAGTAACAAGTTTGCAAATACTCATAGGCATGAATTTCATTTGAAGCTTTTTTTTAGGAAATATTTTTGATACACCAACTAAAATAAAGCAAAATACTGAGTTTGAATTTAAAATGGATTTTCCATCATTTTCAATTAAACATACACATTTAAATATATGCACACCTCCAATAATAGTTGGGTCAAATACCCTGGAACCACATACTTTTTGTAGCCATCAGACGTTTGGTGACTTTGCAGCCAAAGGAAGGCTATAAAAGTAGCAGTACGTCTGGTGGATGGCTAAAGTAAGAGTTTGATTTGCCTTTAACTTGCTAAGGAACATTGATGTTACTACTGGATGTGTGGGTGTATCTATTATTGTGAGCCTGTGTGGAGTGGAGAAAATCCCAAATCAATTCAAACTTGCATCTAATTTCTATTTTTAAAATTTAAGTTACTTGTTTTTCCATTCTCCAAACCTAAAACAGCATGCATAATTAAAATTAACATGATATTCAGAATAATAACTATAATTTCTCTTAGCATAGTATATTGTTTCCTTTAAAAAAGTAGAAAAAAATACAGCTACCCTTATGGAGGTGGAACCCTTCTTGTTCTTCCACCCTTGACTTTCCATCAGATTTGCACACAAGGGCCACCCCTTGCTCCAACAGTCCCACTTGAGTGACTCTCCATCAGCCATATAATTAGCAGCTGGGGCCTTGTCATCAGCTGCTGCAGGTCTGGAGAAAGAGCTGTGAAAGCCCAAGCTGCCCTGGCCAGTGTCTGGGCTTCAAAAGGCTGGCAGGACTCCTTACCCATACCAATCACTGCACCCTTTACCCCCCCGTCTCCTTTTGACCCCTCATCCTTGGCCTGTCAACTGGAGGCTCGTTCAAACACACAACCTCTCCAAGCAGACTGATTGAGCACTGACCCTTTGGCCCTTTGAGACTTAAAAGCAGCCGGTCTCTTTCAGTGAACAGGACCTGCCTAATTGGTGAAAAAGTCACAAGGATGGTAATGGTTGAGCTGGTCCTTGAGGTTGGAGAGGTGCTATTTAAGACACAACCTCAAGCATGTGATTTGACCTTTTGTTTATTTAACAAAGTCATTTGGAAAACCTTGTGATTGATTTTAGCAGGTTACAAAAATCTTAGCCACTTTACTTCCCGTCATGTGTTGGGGGCGATGCAGCTGACTCTGATATTTATTCTGAAAATGTTACATGTCGATGCATTAAATGGAATGAAAAAGCAGGCGAAGAAGGGGTTAAAATCTCCACATTTCCACGGCAGCCAGGCTCCTCTGAGTGGCCTCATTGTCTGCTGTTGGCCTCTTGTGCCCCTTGCTGGTCCAAACGCTTCATTCTCACGTGGATTTCCACTCAGAAGGCTGACCATGACCAATCTTCTGTCAATTGGAACCAATTGCTCACACGGCATCCTTCACCTTCTTTTTATGTAGCGATACGGAGTGGCAGACACCGAGACCTCATGTCTCTTCCCCCTCCATGACAATTTGGCTTTAAGGTCCAGTGTGTGTGGTTAGCGAACCGGAAAAGGAGAAGGTCTTTTTTTTTCTTCTCCTTTTTGTGGAGGGTTGGGCCACTTTAAATCTCCTCAGCGTCGCAATATGTAGCCCGTCTGGCTCCTTGCTGGCAGACTTTGCTTTATTGATTCAAGAGCTTGCTGAGTTGTTCTCTTTAATGTGGTGCTCCATCCTCAGTGCCTATGGTCCATCGAGACCTGTGACTTGTTAATTGCACCATCTCTCATAATAATTCATTTACTTTGCTTTGGTTTCTTAGAAGGTGTTGAAACATTTGCAGAGTCCAAATCCATTTGGTCAACATAAAACTGTGAAAGCAAAGTTGGACTGTGGTGGTTAAAATGATTAAGACTTCACACAATATGCATCATGTTTTGCTTAAATGTTTCCCATATCAAAATATTTGCAACACTGTAATTATTAAATACTTGTTTTTTCTATATCTCTGCCATATCAAAGAAAGAGTTACGACAAAACTTTTTATTTCAATCAATCAAGCAACAAGCATTCCTTGCTTTTTCACATGTTGTCACATGGTAACCACAAGCTTTGATGCATTTTATTGGGGTTTTATGTGATAATTAGTGCACAATAGTGAAGTGGAAGAAAACCTTTTTTTGATATCTTTCAATTTCTTATTTTTGCATATAAAAACCAGTAAATGTCACAAATCTGAGTATTAAGGTTATGAATGTTAATCCTAAGCAGAGTTGCACTATTAATCTTTGTGGCATTTTCTTCCCACTTCAACCTATGTAAAGCAATTTTAATTATGCACCACATTTTCAGGAACAAGGCAGTTCAAAGTACTTATTCAATATCATATGTTAGTCAATCACATAAAATCCCATTTAAATATATGCAACATGACAAAATATGGAAAGAGGAATGAAGACTTACTACTGTTTGGGCCTTTTCAACCCAATAATGATGCCTTGTGGCAGAGAACAATAAAAGCTCATGTTAGATTGCTTTGATGTCTTTGATACATTTTAATGCACATGTTTATCTTTGAGGGATTTCTTCTCAACCGAAGCCAGATTATCTGCTGACTTAGGGAGTCCTGCTGTGATGTGAGCTTGTGCCTGAAGATCAGAGTTTTGTTGCTGCAGCGGCATCAGGTGTTTGGTAGGAGTCCATTTCCTCTGAGTCAAACGAGTACCAGCCTTGGGGAGAGCGCTTCAAGAATTACATTTTCTATTTTGAAGTTTGATTATTATTTAAGAAGCTTCTGGTTGGTTTCAAGTTACAAACTGTGTGCAGGGACTTCAGAAGGCCCTCTTTTCCAATAATGGAAAAGGACTTAAGTTGGACTGTCTGAACCTCTTATGTATTTTACTTTATAGAAGTAGGATGTTATTGCTAATTGTAAAGCTTAATAGGTTTCAACTGCAACTTTAATACATAATTTTGCCCTATAGAGGGCACTATAATCTTATTTTACAAAACAACACTCAGTTTCCTCAATTTAAGAGTTGTGATCGTATTAAAAGTTTCTGTTTAGCGCACTTTTATCAAAGATTTTAGGTTATTAAAGTAATTAAGGCCAAAAGTGAGCCTATTAATTCCTAAAGACCTACACAATCTGCCTTTATAACTTCCATCATGTCATTTGCATAAATGCTATTTAGAGACACTTGGTAATGACACAGCCTTGTTGAAGACTGATTGCACCACTCCTCTGTGAAGGCAGCACCATAAATTGTTGAATTCATGTGGTGAATGCCAAAACCTGTAACAGTCTTTTTGAAGGCCTCAGAAAACGCAAATCCTCTCTGAGATGTTGACCTTTTTTCCAGGCCTCGATGGCGTCTGTAGCAGCTATACTTTCCAAAGTCTGGATAAAAATGAAAAAAATAGAGTATGGAAAGTTATTTGTATTTCAAAGCTTTGTTATTCCATCCAACTTTCTCTATCATCCATCCATCTTTTTGCCTTCCATTTACCATAACACACAAGCTAATAAATACGATCTTCCTTATCTCCGCTCTTGAGGTCGAAAGAAATCACCTGCAAGAAAATAAGTGGTGCTCCTTCATTGGCTGCTTTACAAATTGGCTGCTATGTCAACTAGCATTGTGTCAATGCTCATGTTCCCAAGCCACATTTTCTTTAGAATATTTTAAATATGCTCTAAGAAAAATTCCTTAGAGCATATTTAGTAGGTGGGTTTTCTCCTTGTAATTTTGAGTTATGATCCACAGAAAATCAGCGAATAAATGAATGTGCGAATACATAACGGCGAGGGGTCAACTCTATGCGAGGGGTCAACTCTATGCTTTTAAAAAAACAACTTCTTGTTCAATGCAAAGTATTCCTGAATCAGTGCTTTTGTAATGTCTGGTCGGGACTCTCAAGCCCCGAGTCAATGGCATCAAAAGGGACCTGTGATGGAAATGCTTCCTAAATGCCACATCACAACATGAGGGAGAATAATTTCATAAAAAGAACCATTTGACAAACAAGACTTTGGTTTTGACAATTTGAAATTAAATTCTGGGTCTTTTTCTCTTTTCTATATGCTCAAAATAGGTCCCATCAAGAAACAATGATGTGTAGACCACTTAGTTTCCATTGTACCAGCACTTTAATCAGGTCCTCTGGGAAATAGGGAGAAGTCATAATCTCTGCTAGCAGCTGTCTCTTTTCACTCAGCTGTTTCCATATCTTGTTTTAAGTGCTACAGCAAACTTTTGTTTTTATTTAAAAATGTATGATTTGAATTATTAATGTACCAGATGCGCATCATCTTTTCTGTACTTTGTCAAAATGCTTCACCTGAATTACTTTGCTGTCTTAGCTGTAAATAACAACCAATGGCTGCCCTCATTGAACTTTATGGATCTTCTTATTTAATTAGTTTGACATTGTGAAATCAAAACAACAAAAACCGAAATTTATGAGAAACAAACAGATGTTTTTTTTTTAAATCTTTTTTTTTTTAATTTGTTTTAAGGGACGTTTGTTACAGCAACCATTTTTGATTAATCCATTCCACCTTTCAGCAGTTATATAGCCAACCAGAGGATTATTGAACCTCATTATTGTAGTCATAAATACCATACTTTCGGCTTTCTATGATTTCTAATAAATAATAACTAAGGAGGACTATCTTTCTTTTTTTTTTTTACTTGAAACACTTTAAAAAATAATGGTTAGATGGTTGAAAATTGGATTCATCTAGTTTATCACACAGGACAGTGACGCCAATTACATTAGCTGATTTTAGAATGGATGAGGCGGGTTGGTATCAGGTTGAAAGCTTAGGGACAGTTAAAAGCAGTTTGTCCAACAAACTGTGGGACAAACTGACATTTAATGTGATTAAATGTCTAGCCAGAATAATTTCAGAATTATAACTGAATTACATGGGTGTATGTAATATATTTGAGTCCGTATATTTAACATAAATTTAGACTTGTGCACCAAATGCTTGATTTAAAATGTAATGAAGATGTTTTATTATTGACTTACCCTGGGAAATTAAATAATAAATTATGACAGCCATACCCATGATTGGAGCATCTTATCATCTAGATGAAATTTTCTCCTCCCTGTCAGCTGCATGTGGATT